GGGACTGCTCCCTCCGGACAAGGCAGGAGGGTGCGGCTCTCGGGTCTGTAAAATGGGCACAGCCCAGGGGGAGGGGTTACTCCACCGGACTGACTGCTCCCACTGGGGGGAGGGTCCCCCTCAGAAGCCCTCCCCCCCACACACTGGCTCTTCCGGCCCAGGCCACCAGCCCTTTTATTTCCCAATCCGAGCTCTGTTGGTGCCCCGGCCTGATCACTGTTTCACCTTCAGCTCGTCGCGCTGAGCGTCCCTGTACTGTAAACCGGCTTGTTCAAAAGGAAACAACGGGGAGGGGAGGCGAGAAACGGGCTCTCGGGTCCTGCTCCCTGGCTTTGGGCGCACGCTGCCTCCTGCCTGGCCCCCACTGCGGAGTCGGGGGGTCCGGGGGTCTGCTCCCAGCAGAGCCCAAGCCAGGCGATACAGAAACCAGCATCCATCGGCCACGGCGGAAGGGGCGCGGGCTTCTGGTCTTAAAAAAAGAACCCTCCGTTGCAGCGAAGTGCTGGGAGAGTTCGGAGCCCCCCCCGCCCCGGCCCAGGCCAGCGCGCTGCGAGCGAGCCCGGACGTCTCCGTTTGCCCCACTCACTGGCCGCTAAAGTTACTTTTCTCCTGCTACAGCTAATGGGGCAAACGTTGGCATCGGTTACAACGAGGCAAGCCCCACTCCCGCCCCCTCCAGCAGGGGCGTTGCACAGGACAAACCTGGGCCCGTTGTCTCGGAATGCAGATGAGCCGTGGCTTTGTGACGCAGCATGGAGCACACTTGGCCACGTCTCTCTCCAAGCCCACGGGAAGAGCCAAGAGACCCTTTAAAGATGCACCGCGAGAGCCTAACTGAGGCGACATCTAGATTGCACGCCTTTTTCGACGGAGGCTTTTTCAACAGTGTCTTTCGAAAAAGCCTCTGTCGAAAAAGGGCATCTAGACTCTCTTTCGAAAAAGCCCTATTTTCATGCAACAGCGCCTTTTTTCAAAAGGTGACTTTCGACAAAAGGCGTTATTCCGCGTAGAATGTGGTTTACCGCTGTCAACCAAACCACCGCGTTCTATCGATTTATTGTCAACAGAACACGGCAGTAGTCTAGACACAGGTATAGTTTTTGCGTAGAAAGGCCACTTTTTTCGAAAAAACCCTGTAGTCTAGACACACCCTGCGTGACCCTTGGCCACTGTGCACCATGGGAACGTGCTGATGTTACGTTCTCAGCTGGAGACGTGTGTATGGCAGCAAGCCCTGAATGCACAGGAACAGGACCGAGTCCTCCAAGCGAACAGGGTCCATGGAAGCTCTGGCTGGGCTTTCCAAAGGGCAACCACCCCCCACAAAAAAACGCCCCCCCCCAAAAAAAAACAACCCACAAGCCAGCACACACAGAAAAGTCACAGCCCCTTTAAATCTCCAGCTACAGGGCAGAGTCCCGTCTATCGGCCAAACCCAGGGGCCGACTCCCCGTCCCGTGGCGCACAGAAGACCACGCTCCTCCTCCGGGGCCAACGCCCCCTCCCGCAGTGCGCACGGCACACCAGCTCGCTTCCGGCTTTAGGGCGCGGGGCCCTTTTAGGTGCGGGGCCCGATTCGGGGGAATCGGGCGAATCGACCTGAAGCCGGTCCTGGGGACAAGCCCCAGACCCTACTCCCCACTAGGAGCTTGAGGGCTGGATTGAAATGTCTGATGGGCCAGCTTCGGCCTGTTGCCTGTAGTTTGCCTACTTCTGCTCTAGAAGATCTGATGGTAGATCCTAGACCTGCAGGAGTTATAGTTCTGTGCCTTTCGGGGGTAAATGTTGGTGTCAAAATCATAGTCTAATGAGAAAAAGGACCCTAGGTAGCACCTTCACAAGTGCCAGAGTCCCATTTTCAAAAGCAACTTATGCCTGAGTGATTAAGACACTTTTGAAAATGGATTCCTCCTCAGGCCTACAAGGCAACTTCAGTTGTGGGTTCAGTAAAATAAAATACAATTGTGGGCTCAGGAGAAAGGATGTGACACTTCAGAAGCTGTCACGATTACTCTGTCGATGCAAAAGTTGATGGGGAGAGGTACAAAGAGGAGAGAGCTGTCATGAATCTAACAAAGTGGCCTCCAGATGGCCTCAGATGCTCTTGCTTGGTAAATAAGAAAACGGGGGTCTCAGTCAGAGAACTGAAGTTGGTGTGTTGGACCTAACTGAATCGCAAAGTAAGAAGGGGAGAGGCTGGTCCACCCTCACTGCCTTTTGGGGTCCTTAAAGAGAGGGACTCGGGGGAGGGGGAGGAATATGGAAGAACAGATGGAGGCTGTTGGAGTTTTCTCCACAGTCCTGGCTTCTCTTCCCGCCCTATCTCCTGCAGTCTGTCCTTCTTTGTACTCATTCTGGGAGCCGTCCTGACCAAATGGGCTCGGAGAAAGGGACCCAGCTGCCATCACCACCTCTGTTTACTCTAGCTGAGTTTCAAACGCTGTGTAAGATGAATTGGGATCATCAACAACTCCAGCCCGTTGTAACTAACATCTCCTCTTTTACCTAAAGGGAAAATTAGTATCTTGTTTTGACATCATCGGAGAGACTGTCATGTGGGCTTTTTCCATCTAAAACACTCTCCAGCCAATAAGGGATGTGGTTAAAATGCAATCTTCACTTAATATGGTCGTACTTAACTTTTTTAACCTCTTCCCCCTTTTAAAGGATTAATAGTGTATTTGCCATTATACTAAGTAGGCTGAGGTCTCTCTCTGACAAATTCCAGGTCTTGTTTAACACATCTTAATATTGGTTATTGACTGCATGATGTTAACATCTTGGGCCCATTTATTCCTTCTAAATAAATACTTCAATTAGGTGTTTTTGAAAGTCTTATTCCTAGTCTGCAACCAAAAACATCATATTATCACCCTGTCTCCAGAGATGGATCTTCTGGTGTTTGATTTAGGGGGTCTGGCAAAGACCCCCTAAATCGAATGCCTACGGTGAAGTAGCTGGCATTGTGTATCTTGTATTGATTTTCTCCACCAGCATAGACCAATCCCCAGGCTAAACTCAGACTTTAAAAAAAAGGGACTTGCCTCCTTTTGAGAGGGCTCTTGCTAATCTCAGGGTTGAAACAGCTCTTGTATTGAGCTTAAAGAAACTTCACCTAGTACATTGGTGAAACAGCTAGGGAGCTACAGAAGACACTCTGATCACTATGCTGGTCTCGTTAATGTTTATGTTGTTTTTCTAATTGCTACAAAAATGTCTTGTAGGAAATGATCCACTTTCTTCTCACCAAACAAAACCTGCGTCTATTTCTGACCCTTCGCTGCTTTAGGACAGAACTCTTATTTAGATCAGGCTTTTTTTCCCCATGACCCAGTTGAAGAAAATTGTTGATGCTCCCACCCAACATACTGTGACTGGAGCGTGGGCTGTGGCATGGGGCTGAAGAGGAGAGTTTTGGAGTGTAGGGGGAAGTTCCAGCTTGGGGGGAGGGGGGGAGACAGGGCTGGGGTGGGGGGCGGCATACCGTGAGTGGCTCCAGGTCAGCATTGCAGCGTGGAGGCTAAGGCAGCTTCCTGCCTATCCTGGCCCTGCAGACCATGCTGCCCCCAGAAATAGCCAGCAGCAGGTTCCCAGCCCATGGGAGTGCGGGGGTAGTGCTCAGCTGGGGGAGGTGGGCAAGCGCCGGGGGGCTCCTTTGGCGAGCCTGCCCATCACTAAGCCAGGAGACATCCCTCGTCATCGGGACAAGTATACGCAGCAGGCAACCCAGCAGCCGGGGGAACCTTGGTCGGACAAAGCCGACCCAACCCCCCAGCAAGCGGTGCCGTAGTGGGGGGCTGTCTGCTCTGTGACCGGGGTCCCCTGCGCTGTGAATGCGATTCCCACTGACTCCCCCACATGCGGATTGGCCCAGACACTAGGCCCAGCCGGAGCAGATATCGGGACAAGTATACGCAGCAGGCAACCCAGCAGCCGGGGGAACCTTGGTCGGACAAAGCCGACCCAACCCCCCAGCAAGCGGTGCCGTAGTGGGGGGCTGTCTGCTCTGTGACCGGGGTCCCCTGCGCTGTGAATGCGATTCCCACTGACTCCCCCACATGCGGATTGGCCCAGACACTAGGCCCAGCCGGAGCAGATAACAGGGCTCTTCCCAGCGGGAGAGACAAACAGAGGGAGGGGGAGACTCACACCTGGCTGGGAGCAGGGCCTGGGAGCGAGGCAGTTTCTGGCTGGGAAACATGAAGGGAACAGACTAAGCTGGGTGCTGAGGGTTTAGGGGGTAACCCAAGGGGTCTGAGGCATCCTGGCCCTGACTCCTGTAGCCATGTCCCGTCTGTGCTGGACTGTATCCCGGAGAAGCAATAACCCCCCTCTAGTCTACTGGCTGGCGGAGCCTGTTCTGGCTGCTACGGGGGTGCAGGGTCGGGGGGACCCCAACGCGCCGTCACACACGCGCAGTTCCCTCGGGCCTTTTTTTTTGCCCCCAAGGACGGGGAGGGCAGAGCCCCGAGGGAAACGGGAGAGGAGGAGACGGCAGGAGTAGGGGGGCAGGCACAGAGGGCCGGGGGAGGAGGGAAAGGGGCTGAGGGGCTAACGCAGACCCACAGGGATGGCCCTGAGCGACACGGGTGCTTGGCATGTCCCCCGGCAGGGCCCGCCAGGCCGGAGTGGGCACACGGGCAGGCGCTCGCCCTGCACACGCCCTGGCTGTCCCCATGCTGCAGCGAGAGGCTGTCTGTCCCCAGAGTGCCCCTCCCCCGGATTTCACTTCCAAAAAGGAGGGGTGCCAGAGAAATGCCCCAGCCCCCCACAGAGCGAACACCAGCGGGACAAGGCCACCCCGGCGGGTGCTCGGCTGCCCCCTCCGCCCAGGCAATGGGCCAGCATCCGAGGCCTGCAGGGTCCCTAGGTGGAGGTACCTGGAGGGATGTGTTGCTATGGTAACCACAGCCGGGGGGGGCGGGGGGCAAAGGCTGAGGCCCGGCCCCCCGGGATGTGGCAGGCCAGC